ACACCATAGGAGTGTTAGAATGCAGAAAACCCATCATCAATGACCATGTTTTACCCCAAATGAGACTTTCAGGTACTTGGGGTCTGTAATACATAACGGGTGTTGAGGATGACATCGCACACCATATAAAGGTCGAATGGTTAAAATGGAGGGCAACGACATGACATTTGTGTGACAAGATGGTTCAAATGAAACTAAAAGGAAAATTTTATAAGATGACGATTAGGTCAACTTTCATGTTTGGATCTGAATGATGACCAATTAAAAAAGAACATGAAATGAAGATGGAGATTGCAAAAATAAGAATGTTGGCGGTGGACATATGGTAAGATACTGTTGGACATGATATCGAACTCAACAATTTGAAATTTGTTGGGGTGTCATCGATTATTGAAAAATTATGGAATTGAAGATTACAACGGTTTGGACATGTAAATAGGAGACAACTGACTGCTACTATTAGAATAGTGGAGATGATTATAGTTGATTGTGCTAGAAGGAAAGGTCGGCCGAGAAGGAAAATGGGAATATAGTGTCAGGTTAGACTTGAAAGAGTTGACACTTACCAAAGACATGACCTCATCTAGGAGAATGTGAGACTTAAAATTAGGATATCAGAATAGTATTAGTGTAGGGGTCTAGATCACTCTCATGTTTGTGGATATGAGACTGCATCACTTACTTTTTCTAGCTTTCATTTTCACTTTCGGCATGTGTAACATCTATATGTTAAAGATTTAGAACAAATTACTGAAATCGTCCCTATGGTTTAGTTAAATTTGCGTGTTTGGTCCCTAACTTTTGTTTTGCACTCGGACCGTCCCTATTGTTTTATTTGATTGCGTTTTTCGTCCCTAACAGATATGAAAAGACTATATTCGTCCCTCCCCCCAAGAGAAAAGACATATTACCCTTTCTATTCTTCTTTTTCATCATTTTTGCTATTTTATTTATTATTTATTAATTATTAATTAAAGAAAAATAGTTACTGAAATCGTCCCTCCCACTTGCTCCACAACAACCATAAGCTACCGACCACCACCATAGGTCACTGAAAACCCACCAGCCACTGAAAAGCCACCATCCACCACCAGTAACAACCACCAAGCGATTCCAACATCACTAGCATCCACCGAATTTTAGCTCTATTACAGACCACATAATCGATTTCATTAATTCACACCCCAACATCAAATCCTGAAAATCAAACTTGAACATAGAAATCAAAACCAGAACATAGAATCAAAACCATAATAAGATCAAATTCTAAATTAAAACCTAACGAAAGTCAAATACCATATCCCCAAATCAAACTTAACTGAAATGAAATCCAAATATGGAATCAAACCCAAAAGCAAAACCTAATCTGAAAACGACAATGAAAGAAAAAATTGATGAAATCCTTGAAATCAAATACAGTTTTTCAGAAGAATGGGGTTAAATGGGAACAACACTCAGTGAAGGATAGTGGTGGTTGGAGGATTTTACCGGACACGATGTTCCATCTATTCAGGTAGATGGCGAAGAAGGAAGAGTGAGGATGGAGCAGATGGGGGCGGAAAGATGAAGAGAAGGGATTGATATGCAGATCGGTGGTTTCCTGGTGGCGTCTTCTGGTGACGTTTCTAGGTGGTTTTCCGGTGATGCTTCGTTGGTGGTTGTGGCTCCCGGTGAGAAATGAGAGGACGGGAATGGGATGAGGGAGAGGATGGACGAGGGAGGGGAAAGAGATAATGAGGTGAGGGGCCCACTTTTTTTATTTTTAATAATAATTAAAAAAAAACAAAAAAGAAATGACCAAGGGTAATATAGTCTTTTCATGTCTGTGAGGGACGAAAAATGCAACCAAATAAAACAATAGGGACGGTCCGAGTGCAAAACAAAAGTTAGGGACCAAACACGCAAATTTAACCAAACCATAGGGATGATTTCAGTATTTTGTTCAAAGATTTATTGCGTTTTGCAATTTACACCTCCGTCAACTTTTTTCTTCTTCATATCATACTAACATTTTGTATGCAAAGATCTTTATACAGGAAGACTAAGGATGAACGTGATTACTAAATTTATAATAGTTTTTGTACTTATTTATATATGTCTTTGTTAGAGGTCTTATAAAGACCTTCTTACCTTCGTTTACTCCATCCATATGAGATTTAAGTTATGATATTGTGTTGTTTTTGTTGTTGTAAAGTAACAACATTTAATTTGTACCAAAATAGAGGGTTGGGGATTTAAGGAATAATATATATATGGAACAAACTCTTGTCTTTTAGTCACCTACACTGAGAACAAGTCACCTAGTATTTACTTCTTCCCCATCTATAAATCCTTACAAGTACCTCTCCTTTTCACCATCTCTATTCTCTGCAACAAACCCCACCATGAAGGAGCTCTGGACAACCATGGCCTCTCTAATGGGAGTTTTAGCCTTCTGCCAAACCCTCCTTCACACCGTCATCCCACCGGAGCTCCGCTTCGCTGTTCTTAAACTCTTCCAACGCCTCTTCAACTGCTTCTCTTCCTACTGTTACTACGAAATCACCGAGATCGACGGCGTCAACACCAATGAACTCTACAACGCCGTACAGCTTTATCTATCCTCTTCCGCCTCATCCACCACCCCTTCCGCCGCAGCTACCTCCTCCAACCGTCTATCACTTACCCGCGGCCTCAACTCTTCCGCCATCACCTTTGGTCTCGCTAACAACGACCGTCTCTCCGATGTCTTCAATGGTGTTTCCGTCGTCTGGGAACACATCGTCACGCCCCGACAATCACAGACGTTCTCATGGCGGCCATTGCCGGAGGAGAAGCGTGGGTTCACGCTCCGGATCAACAAAAGGGACAAACCTCAGATTCTCGAGGCTTACCTTGATTTCATAACTGAGAAAGCGAACGAAATCCGAAGGAAGAATCAGGATAGGCTGCTGTACACGAATTCCCGCGGCGGCTCTCTCGATTCTCGGGGACACCCATGGGAATCGGTGCCGTTTAAGCACCCGAGTACATTTGATACCCTGGCAATGGATCCGGAGAAGAAGGCGGAGATAATGTCCGATCTCCGGGATTTCGCTGACGGACAGGCGTTTTATAAACGGACGGGACGCGCGTGGAAGCGTGGGTACCTTTTGTATGGTCCCCCCGGCACCGGAAAATCAAGCATGATCGCTGCAATGGCGAATTTCCTTGGGTACGACATTTACGATCTGGAATTAACAGAGGTAAACACAAATTCGGAACTCCGGAAATTGCTTATGAAAACCAGTTCAAAATCAATTATCGTAATCGAAGACATTGACTGTTCTATAAACCTTACAAATCGTAAAAAAAGTAACAGCAGTGGGGGGCGGAGCAGCGGCGGTGCATTTGACGGAGGTTCTGAAATGAGAACCGGCCCCGGAGCTCCGGGAGGTCCCGGCGATCCGGAGAACAATGGTAACAACAACAACTCCATTACACTGTCTGGTTTGTTAAACTTCACAGATGGGTTATGGTCGTGTTGTGGATCGGAGCGGATATTTGTTTTCACAACCAATCACATTGAGAAGCTTGATCCGGCATTGCTTCGAAGTGGAAGAATGGATATGCACGTCTTCATGAGCTACTGTTCATTCCCATCGTTGAAGATTCTTCTGAAAAATTACTTAGGGTATGACGACGGCGACATCGAAACGGAGGTTTTGGCGAAGCTGGCGGAGGTAATCGATGAGGCGGAGATGACTCCGGCGGATATCAGTGAAGTATTGATTAAAAACCGGCGAGACAACGACAAGGCGTTAAGGGAGTTGTTGGAGGCGTTGAGGATTAGGGCAGAGAAAAAAAGGGTGGTGAGTAGACGGCGGCGGTTGGTGGCGGAGGTGGAGGAGATAGCGGAGGAGGAGAAGAGGGCGTTGGATAGTCCTAAAGAAGTTGGTGGTGTGGCGACTGGTGGTGGTGATGACGTGGAAGTAAATTACAAGAAAGGTGGGAAAGAGGGAGAAGAGGATAATGGGATTAATTAATTGATTACCTTTTTTTTTTTTGTAATTTTTGGGTTTAATTAATTATTAATCCCGTTAAAACAGGGGTTTTGGGATATCGGAATTTTGGGTGGGATTGGATATTGAAAATTGGATATTTTAGAAAAATACATATTTGGTCCTTCATCTTTTACAAAATGTTTGTTTTTTTAGCAGTAAACTATAAAACTTGTCCATATCTTCTAGACGAGAAACTAAATATCCTTCTATCATATCAAATGTTGACATGTGTCATATTTAATTAAACATTTAATGAAATTAATAATAATTTAATCTATTTGTCAACATTTTATATGGCAGGATGATAAATAGAAACAAGATGTAAGAGATATTTAATTTTTCTAGACTTGGATCCCATAAACTTATTTTTAGTTATTTTTAGGACAGATATGAGATAATTATATTTTGTCATGATGATTTTAGCCATTGTTATATTTAGTTATTTACATCTACTCCTGATAAAATTCCAACTTTAATGTTAGAACGTGTTTTATTTTTTATTTTTTTAATTATTACTAATATTTAATACGATGACTATTTTTTGAGTTCATGGTTACTATGTTTGTCTTTTTTACATTTAATGTTTTTAAATATACCTATAAAATCCTATCAAACTAAATTGAAATTAGATGGTTATTAATTTTTTCAGATTGGATTGGACCAATGTATTTAATATTTATTTTATTTTTTAATATTTTGTAAACGTTTCCTTATTAATATATTTTATAATAATTGAAGTATACTGAATGCTAATTAAACGATAACTGTAATATATAATGTTAATCGAATGATAACTAGATATATGATAATGGATATAAATTTTAGTTGGAGAACAATATAGTTGATGTTTTTATTGAATGTACAATATCATCTAACAACCAATCAATTCAATTTAAATATTGAAATTTTAAGACCGATTTACTTCAGTTATTTTTGGATTGAATGGTCTAGATTGTGTATTCCTATATAGAACATGTTATACACATATTAAAAAGAGTTGTTTTGTTAATCTGAAAATGGTAGTAATGTAATGTATATGTAGGAAAATTTAATTTTGTGAATTCTAGTTAGAATATTTTGTTTAGTAATATTTTGACATATAAGAATCATGATGGTGGATTATTGTAAAAGCAAAAAGGCAGTAATTATTGTAAAGTATTTTAATTATGAGGAGGAAGTATTGATATGATCACCATTTTCTTAGTATAATTTAAGTGATCAAAAGTTATTTAGTCGTTTACCGAAAATAATGGCCATATAAAATTATTATCTACTGGACAATTTGAGCTAAGCTGATCTGATCTCCATGTGCCTCCTTTCATTGGCTATCCTTGACCTCAATGTTATTTAATTAATGCATAAATTAAAATAATCTTAGAGCTCTTTTATAGCATAATTAGTTAAAATTAAAACATAAATACCATCAAAACTAAAAGTAGTTTTCTTTTTATACATTTCAATTATCAACAAACATATTGCTTGTAGATATCAATCTCTCTCTCTCTCTCTCTATATATATATATTATATATATATAATATATATAATATATATATATATATATATATATAACAAGACATTACTGATTAAATAAGTAATTATATTTGGTGAAGTTTTTTAGATTCTCCAAAATTCCATGGCTCAAAAACAATTTAAATTTATTAAGGGGACCAGATGGAAGGGCATTATTGGTTGGGACAAAAATACAATGACCAATCTGTTTTACATAATTAAAGTTGTTTTGAGAATCTAATAATTATTATTTTTCAGAAGAAAAATTATTAAGGTGACAAGGCAGTGCACAGATTTTCTACAACAAATATTGTGGTAAGATTTACATACATGATACAAATAATTCATACATATTTAAATTGAGAAAGGTTCAAATAAAAACTATAGAAAAAGGTTAGAAAATCATAAAAATTGATTATTTGTAGTATTAAACTATTAATAATGCAATATAATTCTTGTAAAAACCGTAAATACTATAAAAAATGTTATGTATTCAAATTTTATACAAAAGTCATATTACAGTATTTACAATTTAATATGATGACCGACCGATTCATACTATTCCTAATGATTCATATCTAAACTATTGAGCTATTTAAAGTTATTAAATTTTATTCCTAATTATGATTCATATTTAAGCTATTTTGCTATTTAAAGTTATTAAAATTTTGTATAATGAGGATTGAGCACTAATATAAACTCAGATAGTCAATCACTAAGGTAACATTTGGTAGGTAATATTTTTAGATAGTGTTTGGTATGCTTAAAATAGGAACAAAATAAGTTTTTGACAAAGTCGAATGAGATAATTTGATAAGAATTTAGGACCACCCAAAATGGTGGAACGTAGTGTTGGAAAATTCAACAAAATAAAAACTTTAGACAAAACGGTAAATGAACATTGGTAAAACTTGTAGAGTAAAACTTCCTAAAAATGAAATTAAATACCGAACATAACATTTAACGTGGTTCAGTCAAAGTGACTTACGTCCACGTTCGAACGAGAGAGAGATTTTATCAAACTTCTAAGAACAATTACAATAACTCACAAATTTTACGCCTCACTTTAGCTCTCAAACAAAAGGAATATATTTTATTGAATAACTGCTCTAAAGGATGTGTTCTCAACTTCACAATGATTGTTCTTTTTAAATTTTTGTGCAAGAATGTTTATGGAGATGTGTGCCTATTTATAGGCAAGCATGAGAAACCCTAATTCTAATGAGTCAGACACATATATAATTAGCCCACAAATGGGATGCCCTAATTGTTAGTCAATCACATAACGTCGTGCATCTGCTTCTAAAATCTTCAACCTTGAGGGATGTGTATAGCCACCTGCCATGCATCATAAAACGTCCAACAACTCCCCAAAAAATCCATACCATCACATTTTCATCTCCAACAGCGAACTCACTGATTGTCCGATGCTTTCTGATGTATGAAAGCGCATTCTCCAAATTCCCTAATAGTTACTCGAACTTTTCAATGACTAAGCATTATTTAGCCAAGGGAGCATTCTGCCACCAAAGAGAGCATGTTCTCACCATGAGAACTTTATGCAACCAAAGAGAGCATTCTCTCACTAGGAGAGCATTTTGTCAAGACTCCAAATGCCAACAATCTCCCACTTGAAGGATTGAATAACTTAGTCTTCTATTCCATTCAACTCTTTATTATTCCTTAATCACACACACGTACACACACATTCTTTCTCTTTCTTTCTTTCTTTCATTATCTATCGCTCGTCTCTCTCTTTCTCTTTCTCTCTCTCTCTCTCTCTCTCTATCTCTCTCTCTCTCTCTCTCTCTCTCTCTCTCTCACTCTCTTCTGTCAACCCATTCTCTTAAATTCTTAGAAAAGTTGTTGAAGCCATACCCATCTTCAACTTTTAAGTGGTAAAATCCTTAGTACATTCATCTGCCAAGTTCACCATACTAAGGACTTTCTTCAACTTAAGATCCCCTTGGGTTGTCACCTTAAACTCTATGTACAACTATATCTTAAGCTCATTGATTTTTGTGTGTCGGAACCAACAATCAATATGAGAATGATGTAGATAGAGCTAAATTTATGTACATAACAAAAGTGATCCACCTCATGTCTCATGTACCCGCCCCTCTTCATAAAGTTATAAACTTTAAGCACCACCTCTTAAAAATTTGCTTCATGCCATACAAAGTTTTATTCTTTTTCACCAGATTCTTTTTACCAACTATACGATAACTCTTTGGTTGTGTCTTGTGTATGTCATGATCTAGATTATCATCAAGGATAAAGACTCTATTCACATCTAGTTGTTGTAAATGGAGATTCTCAAAGGCTACAATGTCCAGGATTGATCTGATTGTAGTCGTATTTACATATATAGAATCAACCTCTCCCTTATGTTGGAATATCTTAAACATCAATTTTCCTTTACATTTCTTTCTTTCATATGTCTCATCGTTATCCTGAAAATATCTATCTATTCTATAGTGTGCTCAACTCTGTATTCCATAACATTCTCCCAATATACTGAGTCTTTCATCCATAAGGCCTTTGGAACCGACTTAGGTATATAATTCTTTGTTGATGGAGAATACATAACTTGATTTCTTCGTTCTCTAGTGGCCCTCCAGACAATAGGAGGTTCGAATTATGTACCATCTGCAACTTTACCCTTTGAATTATTATCACTCGAGCTCCCATCATCTCAAAATTTATTAGAAATCCCACTACTTATTAAACTTTTGTGTATCTTCTGAGAAGTGATAGTTCTTACTTGATACAAAGATCCCCTACTGTCACACCCCCAAACCAGAACGGCGGAAACGTTCGGGGGCAGAGGACGTCATGTTCAGTATCATAACAATTCACAATAGTAAAACAAGCAGCAACATCATCCATTGCATTAATAATATAGTTAATATAAGTGTGTTCTGAATGTATTTGTAAGACACCAATATATATATATATATATATATATATATATATATATATATATATATATATATATATCAAAATAAGAGACGAGTCTTGAACATGCTCCATCTTCTCAAAACCTGGTCCAGTGTACCTGTCTACTGGTGACCTGAGAATACAAGTTATTTTGAAAGAGTAGATCAGCATTTAAGCTGGTGAGTTCATAAGTATTTTAGTGTCAAATGTTTGTATACCTTTGAAGAAAGTGTTTGTAAGTGTTTGATGTAAAGTTTGTATACTTCCTAGAAAATCCTATATTTTCTACTAAAATGGAGAGTAGTCTTCTACCAAGACTCGACTGTTCTGTATCTTTGTTCTTTTGTAAAAGTGAGTGTTTTCCCAAGTATATGACTATCATTACCAGAAAATAGTTTACATTACCTTTTATGTGAGAAGATCACTATATGAATGTAATGGGAAAATGACAATGTAAAGTAATGTTGTAATAACTAACTACTGAAGCACTAACTACCTTAAAACCAATTTGTTTTATTAAGGTTAAAATGTG